AGCCATGGGGAGCAAGCCAGTAAGCAGCATTCCTTCATGGCTGCTACTTCAGTTCCTGCCTTGGCTTCCCCTGTGGTAGACTATGCAACCCATAAGTCAAATAAGCCCTTTTCTTCTGAGTTGCTTCTGGTCCTGGTGTTTTACCACAGTGACAGAAACTTAAGACAATGTACATTGGGGACCATCATGAAATCTTAATCCTCACAGGAAGAAACACCCCAAGAGAGAGACAATTACTGCCCAAAGTCACATAAGTTACAGCTTTTAAAAACAACTACTCCATGCTAAGAATGTTGTTGGGCATTGGCAATAGTAGAGATGAAGAAAGTTCTTGCTGAAATCAACGGGGTCCCTGCCTGGTTGCACTGTGCAATCACCTGTTGAGCTTTAAAAACAATCCCAGGATACAGGAGGCTGAGGCAGGAAGATTCCAAGTTCAAGGGCAGCCTAGGCTACATAACAGACCTGATATCAGAAAACAAGCAAGAACAGCCCCATCCACCACCCACCTCACACAGATTCCGATGTGAGCCCTCCCCTCCCACAGGTCCGAGAATGGACCTTGGCATAGAGATGCTTTTCATTCCCTTTTTCTCCCTCCATCTTTTCCCTCCCTCCCCCTTTCTTCTGCTATGCTCCTGCTGTGAAAGACAAATGGAATTTTAACAGTCCTCCAAGTGGCTCTGATGTAATAGGCCACACTGGTCTAAGTGACAAGACAGACAGGAAATGCAGTAAAGACCAGTAAATAACTAAAACTTGTGATTGGCAGGGGCCAAGCAGGAGGCCCAGGATCTGAAGGAAGTGAGGTCACACTGCAGAGCTGTGATTCCAGAGGCAGAAAGCACAAGGCATAGGCTGTCCCATGTGGGAGAGCCATGGACATTCTGGGAGATACCCACCTCTGCAGAGCCATCAAACTTTGCCACAGTGCCTGTCTAGCATGTGCTTTTAGTCTATAGCCTGAAATAGTTCTCCTTGTTCCTCTACTCTAGACAGCCACCCCCAATCGCACACTGCTTGTAAATGCCCCAACAGCCGGCTCTGTGACCCACCTCCTGTGGAACAGGCAGGAGGGTGCAGAGGAACAGGTGTGTTGTCCTGTAATGGAGACAGGCAGGCAGACTCACAGAGGCCTAATACCTCATTGTGGGAGGTTTCCAGCTAGCTCGCTAGCCTCTGACCTTGACTACCCAGTTCTGTACCCATCTTCCTTGCATTAGGAAACAGAAGTACTTAGAGCACCTGAAAGGCTGGTGGGAACACTGCCCTAGTGTATAGCTCAGTGGGGACCCCCATCCTTCAGGTTAGATAATGTACCAGCTTAGTCTCCACAAAGCAATCAAAGGAATCTGTTACTCATTGCTTCAGTTCCTACTGTGTGAACCCAGTTACTATAGCAACCAAATGTGCTTCTTTATTATTGGATGGAAGGCTTTAATTTTGTATTTAAAGAGTTTGGCCAGATAGTCATGTTGCCGTGACTTGATCTGTTGGACAGTGGTTAGGAGCAGACAGATGCCTTGGAATGGCCATAGATCCGTCTTTCTAATTGATGGATCTAGGTCTGGAAAAACCCAGACTCTACTGCACTGAGAGAGAGAAGGGGGGTCTTCCCTGGTGCTGGTACCTTCCCCTGTTCCCAGATGACTCCTGATGAAAGGCCCCTCAGCCAGGCATTTTCAGGGCGACCTCTGCTTCCCCTGCTGCTGTTGGGTCCTGCTTTTCTTTCTACCCCCTTCCAATAGACAGCCAGCTTTCAGCGTGTTTGTTGAGCATGGGTTTATAACCTTACTGAGTTTCACATTTGTTATGGCCCCTGCATGGTCACAGGACAGGAAGATGGGGAAACTGAGGCTCAGTGAGGCTACAGCCTGGCCTCTTCCACAGCCACCTCCTTGGCCTCTTAGTGGCCTGCTAGGCTGCCTGGAACTTGCTCCTGTAGCACTTGAGTGTCACAGGCAGACACTAAAAGCAAAAAGCGTTCCTCCAGACCCCCTCCCCGCCCCAACATACACTGTCTCCTGCATGTGACTCACCTGTTTGCATTCTACTTGTATCTGGTGTGCCAGAAACTCTTTAACTTCTCAGGTTTTATTCTTGGAGGCCTCCAGCTCAGGCAGCGTGAGTCTGCTCCTCCACTGTGGGTAAAGAGACTCATAGGAAGGTAGTGGGAAAGGGTAAAGAGGGGTGCTTAGGGACTACCTTCACAGCAGAAGAGTGCTGCCTAGACCTTGGAGGCGGTAAATGAGTCTGCTGCAGGCAGAAGTGGGTGGGGAAGGAGGCATAGTCCGTCTACCCTTAGACCAATTCATCCTGCAGCTGGCTTTTCTCCTTTGTGGATGCTGGATTTTAGGTTAAACTCACCTTTCCCCAGATCTTGCCATATCATTAGTGCCTTTCTTTCCCACCTGCTTGTTCACTGGTCTTTCAAAACTAGCCACCCCAGGCAACATTCAGGGGTCACTCTTCTTTCAGGGTGTGCAAGTGGGGATGCCTGTCCTCTGAGGCCCCAGAGGACCAGCCAAGTTAGGCCAAAGGACCTCCACTCTTGCTCTTCATTAAAGGCCAGCAGAAGCCATGCTGGAGGGTAGCAGCTCCCTGGGGATCTGGACAGAACACGTGTAGGTGCATGGCAGCAGGTGGCAGCCAGGGAGACATGGAGGGAATGATAGGCACCTCCATTGTCCTGGCTCTAGTCTTAGCCTTAGGCAGGCCCCAGTTGCTTGGGACCTTCAAAGCTCCTCCGTTCTCAGAGAAGACTAAGCTTGCTGAAAGGCAAGTAGAGTTTCTGACCAGTCATTAAGCACATTAGGGGCTTCCTTTGGGACAAAGGCTGGGACTTCCCCAGGTGTGAATCTCAGCTGAGTAGGTGAAGGTAGGTAGTAGATACCCAGGGAATTGCCTGCTGGAGTGGATTCTCATGACATGGCCCCAAGATTTGGAGCTCTGAGGAAGGAGCAGAGACATAGCTGATTTCAGTTCTCATTGTATGCAAAGACCAAGAAGCTAGCCTTAGCAAGATAACAATAAGTCATGCTAATGTTAACAATAAGCAATGGCCACTTTGCTCATAGTAGCTAATAGTGTGACAGGTGCATGCCAAGGCTTCTTGCACATTGGCTATATATTGTGTATGATATATGCTTCTCTGACTTGCTTGCAGCAGATGTTGCATTCCTAAACAAGAGGATGGCGGAGAGAGAGGTTCAGTACCCCACCCAGCTTTCCAGAGCTGGTTATAGTAGGCTCAGGAGCCACGCAAGGACTGCTGTGTTGCCCAAGAGTGCGGCGTGGCCAGCAGACACTTGTTGCTGCCCTTCTGAGTTGGGGTCGGAATCTGGCCGCCCTGTGAGCTCACTCTTACATGAAACATCCCTCTCCCTCAGTGCCACACCTGCAGAGGTGCAGAGCTATGGGATTTTTGGTTCTGTCTTCCCTTTAAATACAAAAGCACTCTTGATTCTCCTTAGCGCAAAATAGCACACGGAGGCTGGACTGTCCATGCTGGAAGAAAGAGGTTGACCTGGCGCTTTCCCTCCTGCTGTCTTTCCTCCGTAGAGCGCACTGCTCATTGGACTTGTGGGAGTTTTGTCCACACACAGAACATGGGCACCAAACTTGCAGTTTAACCAGCTCTAACACTCTACTTGAGATTAGCATTAGATGCTACTGGCTGCTGGCCTGGCCCTTCAGCTCTGGTCCCACTCCAAAAGCCCACTCGGGGCTGTGAGTCAGTGACTGTGATCTGGGCCTTGGATTTGATTTGCCTGCTGGAGCCCGGTGCACAGCTCAGGGAAACATTTGCACAGTTGTTCTTCAGGATGCTTCAAAGGATCCTGTTGATCGGCAGGCTGGAAAGGACTCCCAGAGCAGGAGTGCAGGAAGGACATGGGGCTTCTGGGGCGTCCGTGGGTGTGCCTCCTCCCTGGTGCCTCCACGTGCTCAGCTATGTAGAAGTCTCCAAACCTTGTCCTTGGGCTTGGCAGAGGCTGTGGCACACTTGATGATGTCATTGGCCACTGATGGTCAGTGATGGGGAGGGTGGGACTGGTAGTCTTTTCCATCTCATTCCCATCCTGAAGCTGGCTAGTCACGGCATGGACATTCAAAATACTCTGCGATGGAGATGTGGCTGGGTGGCAAAAACACCTGCCTGGCTTGTGTGAGGCCCTGAGCTTAAACTCCAACACTAAATAATAAAAGCTGGGTGTGCACACCTTTAACTCCAGCACTTAGGAGGCAGAAACAAGTAGCTCTCTGTGAGTTCAAGGCCAGCCTTGTCTACATAACAAAACACAGCCCTGCCAAGGCTACAGAGCAAAACCCTGTCTCAAATCAAAACTCCCCCCAAGGACTTATCATTTTCGAAGCTTACTGTGTATGTGTGTGTTGTGTATATCTGTGTATGTATATGTATACATATATGTGTACATATATGTATATATATGTGTGTATATGTGTAGGTATGTATATATGTGGTTCGTGTGTGTGTGCATGTATGTATGGGTGTATGACATGTGTGTGTTTTGTTAGGGATCAGACTCAGTGTCTCGTGCAAGCTCTTCTAGACCCCAGCTCTCTTTTGGGCTTTTAGCAGTTACATGCCTCTGCCAAGTTGAATACCAAATGTATTCTTTCTTGTTATAAATATCAATATCCAGATTGTTGTGCTGGCTTATTCTTGTAATCCCAACCTTGGAAAGGTTGAGGCAGGAGGATTTCCATGAGTTTGAGGCTAGCTTGCTATAGAGTGAGACCTTGTCACAAACAAACATGACAATATCCTAGGAAGCAACTTCCAGAGGAGGCAGTGCCTAGGCAGGCGTCCAGCTGGCCTCATGCAGGGCTCCCCGCTCTCCTCTGGGGCTCTCTCCACAGGTAGAATCCTTCCCCTGAGGTATCAGGCTCATGGAGCAGCGGCACACCCACCCCTGCCTGTTCCGTGACACTCCAGCGCACCTGTCCTGGCCACACTAACGCACTCTCTGCTCCTCCAGCTCTTTGTGATCGACAATGGTGCAGATGACTGGCGGATAGCCATGACCTACGAGCGCATCCTCTACATCAGCCTGGAGATGCTGGTGTGTGCCATCCATCCCATTCCTGGAGAGTACAAGTTCTTCTGGACTGCACGCCTGGCCTTCTCCTACACCCCGTCCCGGGCGGAGGCTGATGTGGACATTATCCTGTCCATCCCCATGTTCCTGCGCCTCTATCTGATCGCCCGGGTCATGCTGCTGCACAGCAAGCTCTTCACTGACGCCTCCTCCCGAAGCATCGGAGCCCTCAACAAGATCAACTTTAACACTCGATTTGTCATGAAGACGCTCATGACCATCTGCCCAGGCACGGTGCTGCTGGTGTTTAGCATCTCTCTGTGGATCATCGCGGCCTGGACAGTGCGAGTCTGTGAAAGGTATTTCATGTGGGATGGGGTAGGGAGGAGGAGCAGGGATGGCCAGGTCTAAGGTCCGATGGAGGAGACAGGAACGTTCTCAGATACCTCAAGAGAGAAAATGAGAACAAGAGGAGGGCAGAGTTGGGGTGGAATATTGGAACACTGGAGCGCAGGTAAGCTGTGGGAAAAAAAAAAACCCCAAAACATGTAACTAACTTTCCTTCTTTCTTTTAGACCAATGTGTCAAAGCCTTCTGGGTACACTCTTAACCCCTACTTGGTATTTATTGATTTACAAGTTTTTGTATGCTCTCCTCTTGGAGATTAATGATGCTTGCGAATGTTTAAAGGGCTCTGATAAGTCCTGCAGTAATGAAGCCTGTTTATTTTTGCTTAGTTCAAATTTCCTCATATAATTATTTGCCCACAAATCATTTTCTTTTTGAAGTCATACATCACTAGTATGTCTCTGTTCATATTTGGTCTACTGATTGACAGTATCATCAAAATTGGGAGACTTGTTAGAGTACAAGGCCTTAACCCCGGAACGGCAGAAGCAGAACTGGCATTTTAGCAGCTTTTTGCCATGATTCATACACACTTTAAAGTTGGAGAATCACCATGCTAGTGAAACAAATTCAGAAAAGATTTTAGGTGGTGATTCAGAGAGCTTGCTGCTGGGAGCAAGGGAACTATGGTCATGCCGGGACAGAGGGCTCTGCAGTGAGCAGCCAGTTCTCAGAACAGCCAACCCTGGGCCCTACTTTAGGATGGCCCTACCTCCCCATGCCACCCCGCAGGCCCTGTCGGTGACACCTGTCATTTTCAAGCTGTCTCTGTGTCTCTTTTTAGTCAGATTTCACATGTACAATCCAAAGCTAAGCAAGGGCTCTGGAGTCTGCCCAGGAAGCTATGTTTTCCTCCTTTTAAAGTAAGAGTCACTTCAAATGGGAGAGCTCTGATGTATGGAAAAATTTGTGCCACTTACACAGATGCTGGGAGAGGTCCTCACTGCATCAGGACTTACAGTCTGACTGTCAGGCCTTCCATGTGCCTATCTCTGAGCAGAGATAAAATGACAGAGAATTCCAGCTGGACAGTTGGCTTAACAGAACACCCACAGGAACCATGAACCAAATTTCCCGTTACCTTTGGGATGTTCAGCCAGTAGGTATGGCTTCCTGAGTTCAGACAGAGGTAGTGTGCTGTCCAGAACATGATCCCTGTATGAGAGGAGAGCCTCTGAGAACCAAGCTGGGACTAGCTGTGGCAGAGCACCCAAAGCCACACCACCCAGCTTTTGAAAGCCCCACCACAGCTCAGCAGCTAGGCTTCTTTTCCAAGCAGGGATCCATGCCAAACAGGTCTTCACAAACCTTCTCTGCCAGATGCTTTCCTGTGACAGAGAACATGGGTGCTCTGCCTCCAGCCCCAGACTTCTCATGGGACTGTTTTGTTGTTTATTTGAGACAAGATAGTCCAGGCTGGCCTTGAACTTGTGGTCCCTCTGTCCTGTTTCCACTTTCCCTTTCCCTGCCTCACCATGCTGTGTGTGCCACCATGGTGCCACCATGCTGGCTGCCTTGAGGGACTCTCTGCTGAGGGATACTGGTCACCTGCCTCCCTGGGCTTGCTTTGATAGCAAATGAAGAATAACGCTGCTTTACAGGATTCATTGTTAGAGCCAAGCCAAGCAAACCTTGCGACCTGTAGCTTGCTGGGCAATGGTAGTGACCCAGCGATGTGCATTGTGCAATGATATAGGCTGTGATACCTCAGGAACTTTGTGGTTGTCTTTTTTTATAACCAGAATAGACAGACTCCAACTAAATGCCCACTAATCCTCATCCTGTTTTCCTCTCTAACCATCAGAAGCCAAGATTTCCAAAGGTAGCAATTGAATTTGAATAGCCCTTTGGGCACTTGAGGTTTTCTGTGTTTGCCACGCATGTCTAGCATGTATTTCAGAGGAGCCGGTAGGCTGAACATATAACCAGGTACCTACAAGTGAGTTTCATTGTTTATTGAGACAGTCACAAGTATGGTGAGTTATTTACTCATTTCTGGAGAATAACTACATTTTGACGAGCCTTGTTTTCAGAAGTCTTGGATCTTGGTTGATATTTAACATCGAGATTAGACAAGATCAGCTGCATTAGGCTATGTTAGTCTCCATTAGCCCAGGTTAGACAAGATTATCCCTTGTTAAGCTAGGTTAGCCTGAGCTGAACAGAATCTTTGACTACACGGCTCATGAGCTCCAGCTGAAGATCAAGGAAAGACAGGAAGCAAAGCCAGACCCTCCCATGGTCTGCCCTCTACAGAACAGACTTTGTGACCACAGGCTCAGGTATAAATCAGGCATGTGGGGCCAAGCATGGGGACAGTGCCCTGGATCCTGTTTCTCACTCTGTCTTGGTTCTGCATCTCATGCTTCATGCTATCTCAGCTTCAGCAGACTGGAGGAACCCATACTGTCTTCACAGGAGAGCTGCTGGGAAGGAACTGGCTTGAGGTCACAGGGCTCCTAAGTGTGCAGCCAAAATGGAAGCATGACTTCAAATCTAAACTTCAAATTTACCTTGTCAACCCAAGCTGGATCCTGCAGGGACAGGAAATTGTGCTCTAAACTGTCCTAGCCATGTCCTCCATCTGAGGTCTGAAGGCCACTGTGGTGACACAGAAGCCCCAGGCTTGTTCTTTGGTCTTCTCTGGTATCTGTCTCCTCCATCACTTTGCTGTTTCCAGGGCTGACCTCATGTTTAGTGATGTCTTTGTGTGTGTGCACAGATGTGTATCCATGCATGCATGTCTGTGCAAGTGTGTATGTGGGGTGTGCCCTGTATACATGTGTGGGCATGCATGTACACTTGTATGTGCGTGTGTGTGCAGGATATTTGAGCGCACCTGCTCTGCAGTATGTTGGCTAGAGCACTCTGTTTTCCCCTGGAACTGTGCTGGCTGTGAGAATTCCAGCTCTCAATGGAGCTGCCTGACTCAGGGTCACACCTCTTATCCAGGGGTGGGACAAACCCACTGATTCTCAGGGTGGAATTTAAAGGCCATGGTACCTCTTAGAGCAATGGTTCTCAACCTGTGGGTCACAATGACCTTTTTACAGGAGTTGTCTAAGACCATTGGGAAACACAGATTTTATTTACATTATGATTCATAACAGTACCAAAATTACAGCTCTGAAGGAGCAATGAAATAATTTTATGGTTGGGGGTCACTACAACATGAGGAACTGTATTAAAGGGTGGCAGCCATCAGGAAGGTTGACAACCGTTGTTCTAGAGGCTAACTCTCTAGGATCATCGGACTTTAGGGTACCTAAGGGAACACCTGAGGCTTTTGTGGCCATCACACCACACCTAGCCTGTGCCCTGCTTCTTGTGTTGATACTGAGAGCATGCCCACATCCAAATTTTTGTCCCCAGAGCTCATGGTCTCTGACCTATAGGACTATGAAAGCACATATTGAACTCAGGTAACTAGAAAAGGCTCTTTTCTTACAATGGCCAGTTTATTTTCTTTTCTTTCTGTTCTGTTTGTTTATTTTACTTTTTTTTTTTTTGAGGCAGGGTATTCTGGGTAGCCCTGGCTGTCCTGAAACTCACTCTGTAGACCAGGCTGGCCTTGAACTCAGAGATCTGCCTGCCTCTGTCTCCCAAGTGCTAGAATTAAAGATATGTGCCACCATGCCGAGCTAGCCAGTTTCTTTTAGAGCTGTAGGTAACCTTGTGCTTTTTAAGGTCAAATCATTAGCATAACTGGCTGAGACAGAGGTTGCACTGGGGGCTGAAGAGTTGGACCATGGTGGGAGAGGGATATGGAAAAGAAGACTTTGATCTCCCTTTGCTTGATGATGGCTCTGGCACCTTTGGTGTTAGGGAGGGTAAGTGACTTGTCAAGGGCATTACCCACTATGACAGATTCTAGAACCTGCTGCTGCCAGGGTCTGCATATGGCCCAGGTGGCCTCTGTCAGCTGGACTTGTCTCTAGCTGCATGCACATACTTCTCAAGTTGCTATGGAGATCCCTCTTCAGCAAGATGTGTTTTAGAAGTCATTTCTCCTATCCGGGGTTGGCTTTTATGGGACAATAAATATTTTTACATCTTCTCCTGCCAAGGACAGATGGGAGTTAATAATGTTGCAGAGGAGTCCTGTGTTGGGAGAGCAGCGCCTGGTTGCCAGGAGGGCAGTAGCAACATTGGCGGCTTGTTTTTCTGGGACCCCAGAGATGCATTACATCACTGCCTCTGAGGCCTGACAGTTGCAGCACTCAGCATTCTCCAGGATTCTCTTGGCTGCGTGCCCACCTCCTACAGGCCTCCCGGGGCCACCCCGGGAACCTCCTCATTAAACACTGTCAAATGCCAAGCGGCAGGAGAAGGGGAACAGTGGAGGCCCCAGGTCCCAATGCACTAGGCCGGGGTAGTCGGCTTTCCCTACACGCCCTGAATAATGCTCTGGCTGCTTACACGTGTGTGCACCCTCCTTGGAAGGAGCAGAAAGGCCTCCATTGCACTGACAAATGTGGGTTGAGTCTTACTTGGCGAGTAACCCTCTTTATCTCTTGACTGTATTAAAGGGCGGCAGCCATCAGGAAGGTTGACAACCGTTGTTCTAGAGGCTAACTCTCTAGGATCATCGGACTTTAGGGTACCTAAGGGAACACCTGAGGCTTTTGTGGCCATCACACCACACCACATCTTTGGACTCTTCTGGGGCTCTCTGGTCTATTCACAGGCTGTCTGTTTCAGGGTCTCGGGCCTTTTCAGCAGGTGTGTGGTTTTGGCTATGTGAATTTTAATCTGTTCATACAGGTATTTTAATAAATAATCTGATTCTAAAGATCTGGCCTGTAAAACCAGAGAGAACCAGATCATTTGGGGGTCGGAGTTACAGCTCAGGAGAAAATACAGAAAATATTTCCTAGCATGTAGGAGACCCTGGGTTGATCCTGAGAACTGTGGAGGAAAAGGAGAACAGAAAGTGGTGGTCCTGTAGGAA